ATATTTACCTTTTTTACCAAAAAATATATTTTGATAAAGTTTATGTAGTTCTAAATCATTCTTACTTTATCAATTCAATATTAACTACAAAAACTCATTTTTCTTAGCAACCGCACAATATCAATTCTTACTTTATCTTTCCTCATGTCACAACACTAGTGAGACGGGCGTAATAATGTGGTGTAATACTTTAAGAGCCCGCTTGGTGACCCTATTTTTCGGTGTATCAGACTTATCAGCCATTTTTCCTACCAAACACGTAACTTTTGATTTCGCGCGCTAAATTGTGTAATAATAAGAAAAAGTGAGGTTGAAGTTATTTTTCTGGCTGTATTGTCTGAAGTTACTGTAGAAAATCATTTTAACTATTTTTTCATATATGAAATATATTTTCCTTTATTTTATTAATAAAAATATTTTAAATACTTAATATAATTTTTTCATCAGCCGATTCAACCAACCAATTTGATTATTACATGTACTTTAATATAATTTTTTTGATTATTACATGTACTTTAGTTTTGACCACTTTTGTCATTGTGACAATTTTTGTTTGATAGTCACATAATTGCATCTCCTACTGGCTACCGGTACCGCCACTCATCTGCACCATTCCTTTATTTTCTCAATACAAACATACTCCGTATGAACTACAACTAGGGAGTGTTATTCTAGTGAGAAAATAATCTCTCAGCTCCATTGTAAAGGCTCCACAACTATCTATCTGTGACCTTTTTTCTCCGCTGTAAGTTCTAGCGATTTATGTATGTTAAAATTTGTATTTCTTGACTCTTGTTTAGTGAAGTGAACAAATATCAGCTCCATTGTTGCTTGGCCTATAAATAAATAAATATATGTGGTTACTGCTTACAAGATTCTGAAGGGCAAGGAGGTGTTATTGGATATTTGTATAAAAGAAAACTGGAAAATGTTGGGTTCACAGATGTATGAGAAAAGCAGAAAATTTGGGTGGATTTTGAGGTCAAATCTCATGGTTCAGTGGTGGTTCAAGCTGTTGATTTTAGGGGTTTTTCTTGGAATCTTGATTGTATGGAATACTGATGGCTTGAGTTTTCATCTGGGGGCTTTGCAGAAAGATTTTTCTGTTCTGAAACTCAGTAATAGGTCTGCTAGCTTCATACCCACCTTCAAAGATTTTACCTTTACCAATGTTTCTCTGTTGCCCCTTTCTCCTCCTTCAAATCTCACCCAAGCTTTTGAGAATCTAACTCACCCCCAGGATAATTTGGGTCCTCAAATTTCCAATTTAACTGGAATAAATGAAAGCTTGGTCTTGACTGTGAAGAAAGATGAAGCTTTATTAGTAGAGCCTAGTCTGAGCTGGATATCTGCTGAGTTAGAGGCAAACTATTCTTCAAATCTTCTTCAGAGGTGGAAGACGGATTCAAGCGGCGAGCCATGTCGGCAATCAAAAACTGCGGATATATCAATTCCGGGTCTGGATGGTAGTACGGAAACGGGTATTGAATTATCAACCGGGTTCATTCATGATTTCATCTTCCAGGCTTTGGACGAGTCCGGTAAGCCACACTGTTTAGGCGGCGATTATTTCGAGACCGACCTTTCCGGCGAGAAGTGGAAGTCCAGGCCGCCGATCAAGGATTTCGGCAATGGAACATACAGATTTTCCCTCCAAATCCACCCGGATTTCTCGGGGGATTACAATCTCACCATAATCCTCTTATTCCAGCATTACGAGGGGTTGAAATTCTCTCCTCAGAGATTCGCAATCGATAAGGTTCTCCGGGTAATCCCGGTCAAGTTCAAAACCGATAAACCGGCGGCGGAGTTACCCGAATTGTCGTGGTGCGGTAAATCCGATTTCGGATCCCGGGTTGTTTGGTCCGGGCGGTGGACCCGGCACGCCAAGAATGACAGCTGTCCGATTAGCCACAACGGACGGTTCAGATGCCAAGACCCGAACTTTCCCTGCCAAAAACCGTGGTGCGATGGCCCGCTAGGCTCGTTGGAGAGCAACGGGTGGGTTTATTCGACCCATTGTTCGTTCAAATTATATTCGGGTCAAGATGCGTGGAATTGTCTTAGCAACAGATGGATCTTCTGGTGGGGCGATTCGAATCACGTTGATACCATTCGAAACATGCTGAACTTCATTCTAGGGTTTGACGTGAAATCCATCCCAAGAAGGTACGATATGAACATAACTAACCCTAAAAATCCATCACAAATGGTCCGATTCACGAGCATTTTCAACGGCCACCACAACGAAACCGCGAATTACCTCGGGTTAAATTCATTATCCAATTTGGATTACAGGGAACTTTTAAAGAGTTATTTCGCCGGAAATGTGGTTCCGGACACTATAATCATGAATTCGGGTTTACACGACGGGGTGTACTGGCGGAATCTGAGGTCCTTCATCGATGGTGCTAATTACGCGTGTGCGTTTTGGGGTGAGGTACTGGAAGGAGTGAAGAGGAGAGGATTGGTCTCGCCAGAGATAATATACCGGACGACGATAACGACAGGGGGATACGCGAGACGGCTGGCGTTTAATCCTCACAAAATGGAGGCGTTCAATGGGGTGGTGCTGGATAAGTTGCAGGCAAAAGGCTTGTTGAAGGGGGTGATAGATGATTTTGACATGACGTATGCGTGGCACTACGACAACCGGTGCAACGACGGGGTGCACTACGGCCGTGCCCCGCAGAATTTCCGGTGGCGGGACGGGCAGATCGGGCACCAATACTTTGTAGATTTGATGCTATGCCACGTACTCCTCAACTCCCTCTGTGCAAAATAACATGAGGTCTAGGCTTTGTTAATAGGACGGTTGATCTGATTGAATGTAGCTGGCCTTTTGTCTTCATTTTTGAATGGAAAGGAAAGCTGGCATTGTCTATTCTTTGTTGACTTATTATTGCAATTGTCTAATTGCGCGTATTTGCCTGATGAGGTTTGGCAAAAACTGTGTAAAGTGAACAGATACAAACTACAAAGGTAGTGCACGGATGTGTAAGGAAGAAGTAAACTTTGTTTCGAAAACTCTACCAAAATGATTCGGAAACTCTTAAAACACTTGTTCTTTTATTGAAATCGATGTATCCCGTTTCACGCTTCTCCTTATTTCCCGCGTTTGAGTGCAACACAGAATGTCGAGTAGGGGTATTAAAATGTCTTCTTCACCACTGTTTTTGTGCTTAGAAAAATGTCGGTTAGCATTTTTCATGTTTGCTACACGTTAATGGTGTGGGATTTGAGAACCCTTCAGCCTCTGTAGGGAGTAGGGACAGCAGCTGGGGACGTATACTTCTATGGCTGGTTTCTATGATCTATTCTATTGAGTTGACTCTATTAATTCATATTCTCTTCTTTGTAACTTTGTCAAAGAGAAACAATTTCTTAATTTAAGTCTTTTAATTAAGAGGAATGGAGAAGCAATATTAATCATAAATTTGTTATTTAATGGAAAGGTAGCCAAGTTTTAAGAAATCAATTAAATATAAAAAAGACAGCAAAGTATAGTGAAATAAAATAAGTAGAAACACACTTACAAAAAAACTTACAAACAGTGATGTAGCTATTCTAATTACCATTGATGTAAAAATGTTGTAAATGTGATGGGATATGTTAAATAATATGACGAAGCCACATATTCTTTTTGTAAGATTTTTCACAAGAGTTTTTGGACCTCTAGCATAACTCTTTGAAAGGAGGTATTCTAGATTTATACAAAAGTATAGTGAATGAGTACTTTTTGTATACTCTCGTGTACACAAATAATTGCTATATTTTTTTAAAGTAGTTGATTGTGTACACATGCAAATTTAAAGGGAAAGTCAAATTTATTTATAAACACTTTTTGAGAGTAGCAAATTACACGGGTCATAGGCGGCCTGACTAATTCACCTAGTCGGTAAACTATCAGTCTTGATTGTGAGCTCTTAATATGATACTCCGTATCAACGGATCCATATGAGGAAATGCGACAATGCGTACTGGGCCCCATAATTTTTTTAAACGAGGTATACTTGATCCTTTCTTTAGTGTTAGTCATATGTATCAGAGAGTATGTAATACTCCTATCAAAATAAGTATGCTTTTACTTAGATTATTTTTATTCCTAGACTAGATTAAATAGGTTAAACAAAATCAAATCAGACTTAAAACAGGCCAGAACTAAATTTCGTAGTTATAAAACACACATAGATCAGACATTTACAAGATCAAATCAGACCAGACCAAACCAGATCAGACTTAAACAGATCAGACTAGACCAACAAATTATAGCTTGCCCAAGTAAAAACATCCTTCTTGTCTCATTTTAGTATTCACGTAGTTTAGAAAAATTATTGTACACTCTAGAAAAAGTAAGTGATTTTTATAGGGAAAGTTCCCGAAATAGGACTAAAAAAGTTAGAAAATTCCAAAATAGGACTGCCATATTTTTATTCCCAAAATAGGATTAATTACTGTCAAATTTAGAAAATACTGTCATGTTTGAAGTCTGGTACTGCCAAAACATGACAGTAATTAGTCCTATTTTGGGAATAAAAACATGAAAGTCCTGTTTTGGAATTTGCAAACATTTTTAGTCCTATTTCGGGTAATATCTCATTTTTATACTATAGCAATATTGTATTATATATACTTCTTTTCAAAAAAAGAAAAAGAAAATGAGACCATAATTAAAGTTGATACAACTTTGAAAAGGAAAGTAGAACTTTCAATACAAATGGGGCTAATGAATGTGTAGTCAATAATAGGATCTAGTACTCTTTGCTCACTTAGTACGTGAATTAGAAAAGTAGAAGTTGTGTATTGATAGAAATTATGCATCGTTACACAAATTGGGTCCATACATACCCATACATGTGCAGCATGTGCCACACGTCAAAGTTGGAATCAGTTGCTTAGTATTATCATAATAATTAATATTGCAAATATTATCTTATAGTGCGGTTGTATAGATTGGTTTATTCTTCCGTAGCTTTCTCTGATGTTTAACAAAGTAGGTAGTTTGTATAGATACGGCTCTGTAATTCTTATCGATTACTTTGTACACTCTATATATATTGGAGAAATGCCAAAGGCATATTCACGGTGAATTTCTCAATTCTAACTTGGTATCAGGCCTCTTCTTCTACAATCGGTCTCCATGACTACACCCACCAAACCCTCTTTTCACCCGGCTCTCGCCGTGACATCACTTTAGACACCGAGAAAGCCCAATACGCCTCCTGGGCGGAACTTTTCAAGCTCACAGCTCGCGCCTATGACGTCTTAGATCACATTCTTAAGCCCACCACTCCCTCCGGCGACACTTCCTCAACCACGTCTGACTCTGAATCCGAGGCTGACCGCCTCCGTCGGGCTGCCGCAGAAGCTGCCCTTTGGTCCCGTATTGATGCCATTGTTCTTCAGTGGATCTACGGAACGATCTCGCACGACTTGCTGCACACCATTTTGGAACCCGGCTCCACGGCTATGGCCGCTTGGAATCGTCTTGAAAACATATTTCATGACAACAAAAACTCCCGAGCCGTGTACCTTGAGGACCAATTCTCTCACACACGGTTGGAGAATTTCCCCTCCGTTTTTGCCTATTGTCAAGAATTGCGCACCATTGCCACTCAGCTTGCCAATGTTGATGCGGAAGTCACTGACAAAAGGCTGGTGTTACGCATGATTCATGGTCTCACTGAACCATATGCCACCGTAGCATCCTTTATTCAGCAAATCGACCCCCTACCCCCTTTTGAAAAAGCTCGATCGATGCTTATCTTGGAGGAAACACGTCAATCTCACCATGCATCCTCCACGTCATCCTCTCCCTCGGCTTCTGCTCTTGCTGCCACGTCCTCCTCGCGTCCAGTCTCACATCCCCAGGCGTCGTCTATCTCTCGGGGTCGAGGAGGTGGACGTCACAGTTCCAACAGGGGCAAAGGGCGTGGACGAAATTCTGGAGGCCGGACTAGTGACGCTACAGTTGCTCCTTCTCAGTGGCCTTTTCCCCCTTGGGCCCCTTGGATGCAACCCTACTGGTCAATGCCGCCGTGTCCATATTTCTATCATGTATTACTACTCCAGCCCATATTGGGTGTCCACTTTTAATTTGATATGATTATTAATAAAACAGTTAAAAGTAAAAGTTGTGGTTGAGATTTGAATAAAATAAAGTAAAATGATAAGGACCACATATTTCTTGCCAAAAAGAGAAACAAGACATTCATTTTGGGACAACCCAAAAAGGAAAGTAGGACAACCAAAATGGAACAAAGGGAGTAAAAAATTGTATGAAGGAGAAAAATAATATGAACCATAAATCATTTGCATTAAAAAGAAAAACGAGCTTATATTGAAAAGACGGAAAATGATAATTATTTTAGGACTATAGTAGTACTTTTAATCATTCCATAAAAATAGAAATATTCAAATTATATTAGGGAGTACTAATATACCAATACACTATATTCCACAACTGTTTTTGGACTCTTTTATTACCCTACATTGAACTTTAAATATTGAATGTTAAACTTTGTAATAATCAAAATAAACAAGTTCAAAATTACTTTTCCAGTGCATTGACTGAATTTGCTTTAGATGAGACTTTTTGTCATTTTCCACATAACTCTATCATTTCATTAATACAAAAATACCGCGTACTACGTAGTATACTTCATCCATCCCTTGAAATTTTGACAATTTCACATATTTATTCATCTAGTGATAAAATCAAACAAAAACTATAAAAATAATAAAAAATGATTATAACCCGATATAGTGTGCGAAATTTAAAGTGACATATCTAATTTAAGAGTTTACTGATAAGCCGGGTAAGTTAAATACAAGGATAATCGATTGGCTCTTATTCTTCTTATTAAGAGAACATTTAAGAGCATCTCCAGTGATACAATGTATACAAAACATATGTGATATAAATGAGATGAACACATAATATTAGTAAATAAAATATTTTTCTATACAATATCAAATAGTAGCAGACTAATATAATGTCTGGAAGGTGATTGACATTGTTAGCAAAAATCAGACAAATATTATTGAAATAAGTTTAGATGTTGTAGAGAATCTCACATGACTTAAACAGATCAGACAAGACCAACAAATTACAACTTGCCTAAGTAAAACATCCTTATTGCCTCATTTTAGTATTCACGGAGTTTAAGAGAATTATTGTATAACTTAGAAAAAGTAAGTGATTTTTTTATACAATAGTAATACTGTATACTTTATTATAGTGTATTATATATACTTCTTTTCAAAAAAGAAAATGAAACCATAAAGTTGATACAAATCGAAAAGGAAAGTAGAACTTTCAATACAAATGGGGCTAATAAATGTGTAGTATTATACTCCGTATATGTAAGTAGTCAATAATAGAATTTAGCACTCTTTGCTCAATGCTCACTTGTTTAAAAAATTGTATGAAGGAGAAAAATAATATGAATCATAAATCATTTGCATTAAAAAGAAAAACGAGTTTATATAAAAAAAGACGGAAAATGATATTTATTTTAGGACAATTCTAGTACTTTTAATCATTCCATAAAAATAGAAATATTCAATTTATATTTGGTAGTTCTAAGATATACCCATACACTATATTCCATAACTGTTTTTGGATTCTTTTATTACCATACATTGAACTTTAAATTTTGTAGGCTAAATTTGTAGTAATCAAAATAAACCGATTATAATTTTAATTTTAAAGTGACGTATTTAATTTTAAAGTTTATTGAAAAACCAGATAAGTTAAATACAGGGATAATCAATTGGTTCTTATTCTTCGTACTAAGAGTACATCTAGGAGAGTCTTCAATGATACGATGTATACGAAACATATGTGATATAAGAGAGATAAACACAAAATATTACGGAATAGTAAATATAATATTTTTCTCTACAATATCAAATAGTAGTAGACTAATATAATGTCTAGATGGTGGTTGACATTCTTAACAAAAATCGACACCAAATACAGCAGAGTAGGGTAAGAATGAGACAAATATTATTACTGTGGGATTGTTGAATCCTAAATTTACCTTTCCTCCATTTCACATTTTCGCTTTCAAACTGCAAACAAGCAGTTGTATTACCGAACTCAAAGCTCCTGGAACTCCTTTAACCTTCGGCCAATTGTTTACGAGGAGTATCTTGTGTTTTGAGTTTTGACATATCCAAACACTGCCAATCCATAGCTCAGCTACACCTCTTTCACAGCAAGAGAACCCCTAACCGTAAGAAAACTGTCTTGTAGTACTGCCAAATTCTTCGTGTTTCCCCGAGAAGAAGGAGAATCGTTTGTACTGGCGGCGTTGAGTCTGCTGCTTTGACGTAGGAAACAAAGAATTTGAATTTTATCGCTAAATGGGTTCCGATCTTTAACATTTCTTCATTTTGATTATTGGATTTTGTTTTTAGTTCTTATTCTGCGTTCCCGAGATTGAAAATCTGGCAAATTTAGGGGAAGGAGTTAATTTGAGGCCACGGTTGTGTTCCAAACAAGCCAGTAGAGAGGTCCAAGACGTCGAAGTGGAGTGCAGGCCTTGGCGTAAGAAGGTCTCGATGGCTTTAAACAGGGTCTCCCTGTTCAAAATTATCCTTCTTCTCCTACTTATTGCCGCCATTACCACAGCTTTCCTCACCCTTCCTGTTGAAAAGGTCTGGATTGAATTCTCATTTTGGTGTTCTCTTTGATTGTGAGTGCTTTCTTGTTTCGCTATTAATAGTTCTGGATTGAACTTCATGAGCATTTGTCCTGCTATAAGTTTTTCCTTAACACTTCTGTAGTGGGCTATTGATTGGGAACATTGCTTACTGTGTTCTGAAAGACCATACATTGTTTGATTAAGATTATTTTTCTAAAAATTCTTAGTAATCAGAAATTCTATTCTATATGATTCACATAAGTTGAGCGAAGTTATCAGCTAGAGGAACAATTTCTAAGCAAAAACCAACAGATTGAAAGCTTTTTCTTATTAGTTGACAGTGAGAATGTCTTTTAACTGGGGATCTATATCCTTTTTGTATCCTTGATTTATTTCCTTATTGCCTTTGGGATTTGTATGCTTTCATCACATTGTGTCTTGGAGTTGTTTTATTTTTTTACCCCAAGGAGGGGTCAAGGAGAGGGGGCTGGGAGAGCTTGGGGTAAACAGGGCCGAAACTCCCTCCATGGAGTTTCTAACCCGAGAACTCCCGTATGGGAGAGTGAGTCGGCGACCAGATGAGCTACACTACTTCCTCTTTGGAGTTGTTTTGTTTACTTGACGAGTTCATTTTTTCCCTTGAGGGGAAACATTGTGCTCTACAGTCTTCATGAAATAATTTTAGAATTTCCAATTGTTCGCGAACATTAAAGTTGACAAAACTTGGAGACATGATAGTACAAATGATAAGAACATCTACCTTTTGCAGATTTTGAAAGACTTCTTGATATGGGTTAAAGACGAACTTGGTCCTTGGGGTCCTCTTGTCTTGTAAGTCTGACATTAATCTGCAATGTTTTGTATTCCCTTAGACAGCGAATTGCTGCATTTTCTCTGCCAATCTGAGAGGTTGTGATATATTTTCTTATGATTTTAGTTGTGTTCTTATGCATCTTGGACTTGTAGGGCTGTTGCATACATTCCTTTAACAGTTTTGGCAGTCCCCGCTTCAATACTTACGGTAAATTGCATTGCTTTAGAGAATAATAAATTAATAATTCTTACAAACGAAGCTAATTCATGGACTTGGCTCATAGAGCTTAGCTGAATTAGTATTTTCCTTACCCTAACTATGAGACATTTGCTTAATTCTTACTCCGTATCTGAGTATTTTCCCTTTGGATTACCTTTGTGGCTTTGTCCTCATATTTAAAGTCAAACCATTGCCTGGAATATCTTTCAGTTAGGTGGTGGATATCTGTTTGGATTACCTGTCGGTTTTATTGCCGATTCAATTGGTGCAACAATCGGTGCTGCAGCAGCTTTCCTTCTTGGAAGAACGGTAACTTTTCCTATAGAAAAACTTCAATAAGTACTTAAGTAGAGGTGCTCGTATTACACAGACCCATGTTTGAGTAATGATTTTGAAGAAGTAATCTTTTCTCTGTGATCCGAGAAATAATTTTTCTGACTTCTGAACCACCCATAGTTTCTTCCGTGCTTGACAATTTTGGTTGAGAAACATTATCATATCCACACCTGTTAGTTTTCTTAGCAAAATATATAATGGGTTTGACAGATTGGGAGGTCATTTGTTACGTCGAAGTTGAAAGACTATCCACAGTTCCGTGCAGTTGCAATTGCAATTCGAAGATCTGGCTTTAAGGTTAGTGCTGGGGTAATGTAAATGTATAATTCATCTTTTTCTGCTCTATCTTGGCATTTCATAGAGGGTGGAAAAAGTAAATTAGGTTGGGGTCTAACTAACCTCATGTCTCATTCATAGATTGTTTTACTGCTGCGCCTTGTACCTTTACTTCCATTCAACATGCTCAACTATCTCTTGTCCGTGACTCCTGTTCCCTTTGTGGAGTATGTGCTAGCTTCTTGGCTGGGAATGATGGTAGCCTCTCCCCTCTTTCTGTCCGTGCTTGTGTATATGCATTTCTCTTACATATATATCCCATCTAAATTTTCTTTGGTAAATTTCCATAACAAGAAACTCTCATGGGCTTCATGGCCACTACCCATCTTCCAGTAAGCTGTATCAAATACCATCCTTTTGAGCTGATATTTTTTTCTTGCCATAGACTTCATTTTTTTCTTATTTTTCAGTAGATTCATGTAATGGAAATATCATGTCGATTCATGTTACCCGACCCGAACTCTTTTGTCAATAAGGCTTGTTTGATGTTTTTGAATCTTTTCACTTGATGTTATTGCCTGCCTTATGGAGTGAGACTTATTTTGTTACATAAATGAGGCTTAAAATCTGTGAACATGATTTTGTTTGTGGTTGGAGACTTTCTCTCAGAAGAGACTAAGGGAGGTTGTCTCGCTTGAGTGTGCCCAATGCTGGGAAGGAGTTTCCCTGAATAATACTTGATATGGGGTAGGCTGTCTCTGACATTCTGTCAGGCATATATTAGTTTCTTATGGATTCCAGAACCCTAATACACATAATAGGCGTGAGATATGTATGGACGTCATACACCCAAACCTGAAAATTGTAATCACTAATAAATGGACCCCTCATTTATTTGCTAGGAAATATGCTGTTTTTTGGATTCTTGTACCATAAGAATAATGGAATTTGAATTAATTGAGAAACACATGGAGAATAAAGAACAACATAAATTGTATTAGGTAGGAATGAAAATTGAAATTATTGGCTATATTTGTTTTCTAAATTGGTTTGCTTTGGAACTGTTAGTGAATACTTCCTCCGTATTCTTTGTTTGCTACACTTTCCTTTTTGGGATGCATTTAAATTTTTGCTACACTTTCCATTTTTGGTAAATTTTCTGTTTAGAAATACTCAATTACCCTTACTTTTTTTTACTTGTTATCTTCTCTTTCATACATTTCTGCCATCTCTCCTACCTTTTCTACACTATTCATTACCCTTACTATTTTTCCCTTAAACATTGTGCCAAAATATTTTGTAGCAAACATTACAATACGGAGGAAATAATAACTACAATACAAGTGCTCAAATACATACTAATAACAAAATAGTAATAATACAATAATGCTTGGTGTACACTCCGGGTTACACGCCCATTCTTTCATTCTGTGAACAAACAATTTTTTCATTTTCGTAAAGAAAACTGTCAGTGACTCCGAAAAAATTTATTGTCTGAGGGGGGATTTTATGGAACCCCTTTTTCCTCTATCAACAAGTCAACAACAACATCCAAGCCTAATTCCCAAAACAATATGGGGTGAGCTAACATGAATCGACATATGATCAGGAACTGAAAATAAGTTGCATATCAAGCTATCATGCTTGTGATTTCAAGTAATGTATAGTCCTGGTTTATGTGTAGATTGGTTCACGGTTTTTCAAATTCCTAACTGCTAAGATATGTGTGTCATCTTATTATTGCAGCCAATTACTTTCGCGCTGGTGTATGTTGGAACAACTCTGAAGGATCTCTCTGATGTAACACACGAGTGGGGTGAATTTTCCAAAACTCGTTGGGTATGACTAGTTGAAATACATATTTGTTTTAAGAAATTTAGTAGTCATACCTGTTTCTAAGACTGCTCAAGAAGTTGCATAGAAGCTTGAAGTTTGACATCTTTGTTTGGACTTGAGATACATTTATTCACTCCAAATACAATGGCCTGCTAGTGATTATACCCCCTCCATTCCTTTTTATCTTCTCTTTGACCTAGGCAGTTTTTTTTTTTTAAAGTTAAAATTGTGTGACTGAAATATGTTTTGAAGTGAGATAAACAATGTCAACCACATAGTTCTTACCGTAACAAAAGTGAAGACTATTTTGGGAGAGTGAAAAAGAGTGAAGTTAAAAAGGGGCATAGGTGATAAATAACAAAGATCACACAAAGGATATTTTTATTTCTAAGAGTCCTTTAGTCAAAACTTGGCTGGATAGCGGACTGCGGAGTGGTGGGTGCGTTTGGTCATGTGTTAGACTATAAAGTAATGAATGTAATTACTTGCATTTTGTTTTTGTGGCTACCCAAAACTCAATTATGTTCAGTTCACTCTGTGGCTAGTCTTTTTTACAACTGGTTGCTTGTATTGGTGCAGGCATTCATTGTATTGGGCCTCCTGGTGTCTGGTAAGTGCAAATGTTTAAACAAGTAATGCCATTGTTTAGTTATTTATGGATGGGAGGAATCAACATTTTGTTGTGCATGTCATATGACGAAACGATTAAAAGATGTATATGTATTCCCAGTGTTATTTCTAAACATTACTGGTATTTACTTATATTGCAGTGATTTTAATAATATGTGTTACGCGAGTTGCAAAGGCAGCTCTAGAAAAAGCATTGGCTGAAAATGATGACATGGAGGACTTATTGGAATCACCCCAACTACCTGTTGTGGCAACTCCTTGTGGAAATCTCAATCAGCCGCTTATAATCAAGATAGATGCTGCTCAAGATAGTAATCATGAAAATTAGAAGTTAAATTTGTACTCTGTAAATTCTTTACTTGATGCAATTTTTGTCTTTGTTTCTAGCTTCTAATGCACACCTGATTGTCAGTAATTGCTCGAGATTCTTCTCCTGTACAGTTGGATTATACTGATGTATAAGTTTGGACATAAATGGAAGGATTATTTCTGATAGTGTAAACATGCCGGTGGGAAGCCATTCTACATAGCTAGGCCTATAGTCAAGTGTACCATCTCATGAAATATTGCTGCAGGCACTGCTAATGATTTCTGTTCTAATGTGAGATATGGCATTAGATTTTGTATGTATTGATCGGACTGCAAACTAAATCTAACATCGAAATTAGATTTTTCTTTTTCATACTCATACGACGTAAAAGTAATCGAGCATTCGGGCGAATAACGTAATTTAAATAAACATGCTGCAAGTATTGCGTATAGTAATTTAATTAAATAAACAACTATCTCAGTGCTATCCAAAATCCAAATGTGTCATTGCTTTAACGTCTGTCCCATTCCAGATTTCCAGTCTCCAGACGTAGAGCAACATAATATAGAGGGGGCGCAATCGCTTGAATTATGCAACCACACATTCCAATGATGATGAAGATCCTCCTTGTTTTATAGCTGCTTCCTCTCAATCCAAATCCTCCCATCACCAAACCAAAAGCTCCAACAGTACATGATATTCTGCACACATATCACTTGAAATCAGAAATTTATGATTGACCCGATTAGAATCCAACTTCGCAACCTCTATCTTTAAGTTGTCATCACTTTTATGTGTCAATTTTTTTTTTATAAATTGGGGAAGGAACGAGTAACAAGGAGAGAGAGAAATAACTCTTACCCGTCATTTAACCCGTCCCGAATCTGTATTACCCGGCCCGACCCGCGGTTCCAGTACCCGTTTGCCCACCCCTAATTAAAACCATAAATTAAATTTTTTGAAAGAAATAATACTTGACTATAGTGCTAAAATAACTTTTTTTAATAAGTTCGGGGTATTTAAAGTACATATGCAAGTTTGGGGTGTTCATCTCGCGCCCCTTCAAAGTTTGGCATGGGGTATTTTTATTGATAAATAATAAAAGTTGTAAATTAAGAAGCGGTACACTGATAAAGTAAGTGAGAGAATGTAATTGTAGGTAAAAGGTAAGAGTATTTAGATATTTTGATAGATAATTGTTTTCATAAAATGGAAATGTTGCAAGGATTAAAATATTACCAAAAAGTGCACAGGAAAATATGGAGAGTAATATTTTTTTCAAACATGATAGTCTTATTTTGAAATTGTAGATGGTGTCTATCCAATCTCCATCTTTTGATAAATCATAGTAGCTAGAATTCGATTAATTACCATACATTTATTTATTATTTTCTTTATGGGGATAGGCGATTGGGCAGAATGCAATGATTAATATATTCATGGATCATATATATTAGGAAAAACTATCAAATAAGTCCTCGTACTATATAAAAAAAATCAATCAAGTCCCCGTACTAAATAATCGCTCAATTAAGTCCTGAAATTATTAGAAAACACTCAAACTAAGTTTTTAACCGGTTGGATACTTATTAATGCCGGTAATTGCTGATGTGGCTGACATGTCATAAGTTCTTTTTTTGCTTTTATGGTCAACAATTGACCGTATCAAACATAGATCTAGTGCTGTTAATTCTGGACCGTTCATATGTTACCTTATGCTTCTTGGACTGTTCATCTTCTTCTTGGCGAAGGTGGTGATGATGAAGCCGTTGACAAGTGTGACCAGAGAGTTCAAGACTCACCCATATCCTCTTTCTATCACCTTCGGTAGTAAGGATTTGAAGTGTTCTTCACGAATGAGAACATTATTCTACCTTTTGATGGAGATTAGTAACCTGATTTTTCGATTTGTTATAGAGAAATATTCAATCTTCAAATTCTTATTTATTGGATGTATATAATAATAAAATATAAGTAATCCCTAATTATTACATTATTAGTATACTGGTCTGCTCAGAATATCAACATTAAAATGAATGCGTGAATTGGGTGCCGAATGAGGATCTCCAAATGCTTTCAATTTGGGAAACATTTCCACCATGGTGTGCTAACCCAGTCAATGCTTGCCCAGTCGCCCACCGGAGCACCAAATCTCACCACTCCGCCGCCGATGTAGGGTTGAGGATGAACAAGAAGTCTTTGGTAAAACTGTAGGTTACCTTTTCTTGGATAGAGATGTGGTGGTCCCCATGGCCGGTTGCTACTTGCTAGCTAATGCAGAACGAAGAAGATGCAGTTGGGTGAGAAGAGAGAAGAATAATTAAATTGAATAAAGAAAGGAAATGAAAAAAAGTAAGTTGGGAAAACTGTCAAATAGGTCCATGTACTTTTGACGAAAAGTCAATTGAGTCCTCGTACTTATTTGTTTGTGAATCAATTAAGTCCACAAAGTATTAAAAAAGACTCAATTAGGCCATTTAGCCGGTTGGATATAAATGTTGCCGGTAATAGGTGACGTGGACACCCATGTGGCAATGATTCTGATTTTTCGTTCATTACTTTTTTCTTTTTCTTTTACTTTTTCTCTTTCTTTATTCTTTTCCTGACTTCTTCTTCCCATCCTTAAAGTTGCAGCGACCAGTCTCTTTATTTCTTTTCTTCTTCTTCTTCCCGTGCCCTTTCTTTCCCCTCCCTCAATTTCTTTCTTTTCCACGTTCTTTTCTTTCTTTTTTCCAGTCTTCCCGATTATCTTTCTTTGGATGGGCGGCGGCGGCGGATGGAGATATTGTGGCCAACAGTCGGCGGTTGAGGAAGACATGAGAGACCAGCGGCGTACGATGGCAGTTAGGTAAGTTTTGGTTGTGGACGATGAGAGGAAGATAGAAGAAATCACAGGCGAAGAGCGACACACAACGTTGGTTCGCGAAATCCGGATCTACCGGCTAATCGGCAGTTAGAAAATTTGAAGTTTTGTGGACGACGGCTGGCCGCCAGCGGCGGGTGAGGAAGACTTGAGCAGCGATGATTGATGTTCTTTTGTAGAAAGAATTAGAATAAGAAAAGAAAGAGAGAATGAAAGAAACAACAAGATAAAGAAAGGGGGAAAAACGCAGAAATAAGTGCGGGTAAAGAACAGGGAAGAAGACGCGTGAGGGGAGAATAAAGAGAGAGAAGAGGAAGAAAGAAAATAAAATGAAAAAGAGGGAAAAAATCCATGTGTACTGCCACTGTACACAGTTTACCTGTTAACCGGATCACAACCGGTTAAATGGCATAATTGAATGTTTTTTAACACTTCAGGGACTTAATTGATTTCCAAATAAGTACGAGGACTTAATTGATTTTTTGACAATAGTACGAGAATTTATTTGACAGTTTTCCCAAGTAAGTTTACTCGCGTAGATTGCCACATGGACTGAGTAACTTGTTAACCGGTTGTCTACCGGGTAAATAGTCAATTTGAACATCTTTTAGAAGTTGGAGGATTGATTGAGTGATTACTTAGTACGAGGACTTGATTGACTTTTTCAATATAGTACGAGGACTTATTTGATAGTTTCCCCTATATATTATATTGGAAAAATTCACACTAACAATCTCAACTATTAGCTATCTTCTCATATTAATCCCAAATATGAGTAATTCTAAAATAATACCAACTTCATATGTAATCTTCTTATGTTGAACCTAGGTGACTTGTTACTTACTAAGCAGGTAAAAAAATAATAATGAAAAAAAAGTGAGAGAAAATAAAACACAGGGATTTGGGGATTTGGTTATAATTCGCTAAGTGAAGCCCAGGACAGCTTAAATGTTTTTCAATTTTTTTAGTGTAAATTTTTAAAATTTTCATATTTAGCCCACCCGCTAATGTTGAAGTTAAATAGAATTTCTTTTCAGCTCAGGGCATTTCGGAATCCTGGATCCGTCCCGATATTGACTATTGTACCAGCTCTGTTTCACCTAAATGGAGTGTAGTAACGTCAATAACCTTTGTGACAAACAAGGCTACATATGGGCCCTTTGGGGAAAAGAGGCCATCGCCGTGCGACAATAGCATATTCAAATTCCCATTGGGCAGTGAAGCTGATTCCATTAATGGCTTTCACGGAAATGTCAATGGTAATGGGTTCATTGGAAGCCTTGGTATTTATTTACAGACAACTACGGGCGGCCCCGATCTGTGGCTGCTTTGTCTTCATGAATGACCTCTAAAATTATTACTATTATTATATATCATATAAAAATCCAATCCCAGTGATGAATGATATGATTCGTTCAGCTGTTGCTATCCAATTTGTAAAATATTTTTATGATTCTCACTACTATGATTTTGTGACAAGTCAAGGAATTTTGATTGATCGGGTGGAGTAAAAAGAATGTATGCATCATTTGATGATTACACATTTGATTTTGTAATATATTTATGCTTGTTTGTTTGAAATGTGAAAGTGCTTGCTTGAGGACAATCAAAATCCTAAATGTGGGGGAGTTGATGCACTCCAAATTTATGATCTTGTTTCGTCACATTTTTAATATTTTATTTCTCATTTTTCATTAAAAAAGATTATTTTTACCATATTGAACATTTGAATGTATTGCACTTGTTTTGGTTTTGTTTTAAATTTTAGGACGATTCGAAATGTAAATTAAAATTTTGGTAAAACATAAAAATTACTCTAGAGTTAAGATTGAAAAAGTGAATCACGTAATGTTGTCATGTTAATGTATATTGATGTCAAAGTATGATACTATGTAGTAAACTTTTAAGATGATGGTAAGTTACGTCTATATTCAATGAAGAAAAATAACTTTAAATAATAACAAATACTACATCCGTCCCGCAAAATAGTTCCCGAATATTAGAGTGACGGAGGGAGTGTCTACTTAAACTAATTTCTTGGCTACAGAAATATGTATTGTACAAGAACAATACATATTGGGCCAGTTCAACTAGAATGTGCAATTGCTACAACATGAGCATTTTTCTTAGCACGAATTATTTGTATCTTATAAGTCCTGCATTATAATTCCATTTATATCTTAAGAATGTAATAATACGAGCCGGATTATCTTATTTTTCATTTAGCGAATTATAGACTTAAAAATGTAATAATGATTTCCTCCTACATGTTAATAAATATGGATAAATATTTAAATCTTTGGATGTCATACGGAAATATGTATTGTACAAGAACAATACATATTGGGCCAGTTCAACTAAATCCGTTTCGATAAAGTAGCTGGAAGAGCGATTGATCTGGGGAGTACCTTCAAGAATGAATGTAGGACAGATTTTTGAATGTTCACTGGGGCTAGCAGGGAGTTTGCTAGATAGACATTATAGAATTGCACCTTTTGATGAGAGATACGAACAAGAAGCTTCAAGAAAAATAATATTTTCTCAATTACATGAAGCCAGTAAAAAAAAACAGCGCATCCATGGGCATTTGAACCCGAATACCCAGGAAAAAGTAGAATATTTGATGGAAGAACGGGTAATACTTTTGAACAACCTATCCTAATAGGTAACGCTTATATCTTGAAATTACTTCATCAAGTTGATGATAAACTGCATGGGCGTTCCAGTGGACATTATGCGCTTGTTACACAACAACCCCTTAGAGGAAGAGCGAAACAGGGGGGCAACGGGTAGGGGAAATGGAGGTTTGGGCTCTCGAAGGATTTGGGGTTGCTCATATTTTACAAGAGATGCTTACTTATAAATCGGATCATATATGCCGCAGGGTAAATCACCGCCTCTAAGGTCCCCGACTTAACAGGCCAAGGATAGACAATAACTCCCCCCGAACACAGCTTACAACTTTCATTGTACTGTGCTCTCCAAAAAGCAACTCTTCTCAAAATCTAACTAAAAAAAAGGTGCTTAGTTTAAATCCCATTTTAACTCCCAACTATTTGGTCTTAGACTGATTTTCAGAATGAGTGATTGCCCTTCTCCGACCCTTAAACTGCCCAACCTTATTAATACTTCATTATCTGCAGTTTTTATTATTGAGGCTTTATATGTATATAACTTAATAAGAAATAACCCGAAGTTGCACATTATCCCTTCATTGAAATGAATAATGACGGAAAAAGGCCATATGCAGGACTTTTTTTTATCATAAATAATTATTACTTTTCGAAAGGAAACTCTATTATTGACGTATAGAATCCAAAGATAACTGTTAATATTTTTAGTACATATGTAAATCTTTGGATTCAATAATAAATATGATAACTGTTAGTATTGGCGTATACAATACGAAAGGATGGATATCTTTGGATTCTATACGCCAATAATAGAGTTTCGAAAGGAAACTCTATTATTTCCGTATGACAATAATCTACTATTCTCATACGGAAATCATTATTTCCGTATGACATCCAAATATTTCCAGTTCCCTTTATTCCATATTAGGGAATGAAAAACATTGTAGTAAATTATTTATAAGTCTACTTGGGCGCTAGGCCCAAAGCAATGAACTTTTGAATTCATTTTTAAAGTAGATTTAAATAGATTCCCTATCTATATACTACGTGTCATATGAATACCACTAAATCCGTGTTGCTTTTAAATCTATTGAATAACATTTGTGCCAATACATTATTTTAGAAGTATAGTATGTATTCTAAGTATTCAGTCTTTAGGCAGAATATCAATCGTACGTCGCTTTATAGAATCCATAATTTGGGCTCATAATAAATTAAAAGTTGCTCCTGCTACTCAGCCAAGAGCCTTGAGCATTGTACAAGGACGTGCTGTAGGAGCAACCCATTACCTTCTGGGTGGAATTGCCACAACATGAGCATTTTTCTTAGCACGAATTATTGCAGTCGGATAATGGCTAGGAGGATTTGAAATTACCCTGCCATAAGGTTATGTGTTTCCAATGCCAATAATAAGTAACCCAACCAAGAGTATTTAACATCCAAAAAACTGCCAAATAAAACGCATCCCATGCTGAAATATCACAAGTACCGCCTCGGCCTGGGCCATCGCACGGAAAACTATAACCAAAATCCTTTTTATCCGACATTAACTTGGAACCATATGCATCTAAAGCACCTTTAACTAAGATCAATGTAGTTGTATGTAAACCCAGAGCAATAACATGATGAACTAAAAAGTCTCCGGGACCTATTGTTAAGAATAATGAATTACTGCTATCATTAACAGCATTTAACCAACCAGGCAACCAGATACTTTGCCCTGCATTAAATGCCGGACCACTTGTTGAAGACAAAAGTAGATCGAACCCATAGGAAGTTTTACCGTGAGCCGATTGTATCCATTGAGCAAAGATAGGTTCAATTAAGATTTGCTTCTCCGGGGTACCAAAGGCAAGCATGACATCATTATGAACATAAAGTCAAATCCCAAGAATAAACTAACCCAACTTAAATGAGATATGATCTCTTCTTTATGATCTAACATTCGTGCCAATACATTCTCCTGGTTTTGCTCGGTTTAAATAACTTTTGTTCAGGTTAATGAACAAAAGATTCATTAGAACTTGGACAGATCAGCAAATTTCTTATTAAGTTATATACAAATAACTTATGGAATTCATTTTTGAATTCCACAAACTTGAGCAAGATACAAATTGTTCCCTTTATACTTTTTTGTACAATCCATATTTCTAGTTGAACTGGACATCTTTGGATGTCATACGGAAATATGTATTGTAATAATATGGCCCAAAGCAATGAACTTTCGTATTGTAATAAATAAATATCAGCCATAATATGGAATAAAGGGAACTTGAGCAAGATACAAATTCGCAAGGAAATTAGAGTGATAGCGTATACAAACTCTATTATTGGCCCAATAATAGTTTGTTATTATTGAGGCTTAACATGTATTGGCGTATAGATTATTATGGGAAATAATCTTTGGATGTCATACGGAAATATTATTCTATAAGCCTTCTCTTCTGAATTGCAATTCAATTTGGCCTAATCTTTTAAACAGATTGAGCCGTCGGATATCTATCCATATTAATGAGCTTATTATTTAGATTTGGTTTGGATATAGGTAGACGAGAATAAATAGTTAAACTTGGTAATTGAGGTAGAGTTATATAAAACGACTATTTCATCTATTGCTATTGTGTATTTTCTATTGTATTTAATTTCATGCAAAAAACAAGGGGCAAGAATTATGGAAATGTGGGGGGACTCTATCATTGGATAAGAAATTTGAACGTGGATCAGACCTAACTAAATCAATACATGTAGTACGGAAACTCTATTATTTCTGTATGACATCCAAAGAACAATACGGAAATTCTATTATTTCCGTACTAAATCAATACATGTAGTACGAAAACTCTATTATTTCCGTACTAAATATTACTTGAGGTTGATCTGGCGAATCCCAATACATATTTCCG